TGCGTATGTGTATCGACTACCGGGATCTCAACCGGTTGACGATCAAGAATAAATATCCGCTTCCCAGGATCGATGATTTATTTGACCAGTTGAGGGGTGCCTGCGTGTTTTTTAAGATTGATTTGCGTTCAGACTACCATCAGCTGAAAATCAAGGAGTCAGACATACCTAAAATAGCATTTCGTACGAGATACGGTCATTTCGAGTTTGTGGTTATGCCGTTTGGCCTCAGTAATGCCCCGACAGTATTCATGGACTTGATGAACCGTGTATTCCATCCTTTTTTCGACCAGTTTGTTATTGTATTCATTGATGATATTCTTATCTATTCCAAGAGCCAGAAAGAGCATGGGGAGCATCTGAGGGCCGTTCTTACGACTCTTAGACGAGAGAAGTTGTACGCAAAGTTCTCCAAGTGCGAATTTTGGCTTCAGCGAGTGGCTTTTCTTGGCCACACTATCACTCAAGCTGGTATTGAAGTAGATCCTTCCAAAATTGCCGCAGTGCAGAATTGGTCAGCACCAAAGAATTCGTCCGAGGTTCGTAGTTTCCTCGGCCTTGCAGGTTTTTATCGCAAATTTATTAAGGGGTTCTCGAAGATTGCCCTCCCTTTGTCCCAGTTGACGAGGAAGTCTGTGACATTTGAATGGACAGATCATTGTGAGTCGAGTTTTCAAGAGCTTAAAAGGAGACTTACGACGGCACCAGTGCTGACTATTCCCGATCCTTCTCGGAGTTTCACCATCTATAGTGATGCTTCGAAGCGAGGTTTGGGGTGTGTACTTATGCAGGACGGTCAGGTTATAGCATATGCTTCACGTAAGTTGAAGCCCCATGAGCAGAATTATCCTACCCACGACCTAGAGTTAGCTGCAGTGGTACACACACTTAAGATATGGAGGCATTATCTTTATGGTGGTCGATGTGAGATCTACACCGATCACAAGAGTCTGCAGTATATTTTCACGCAAAAAGAGCTCAACATGCGTCAAAGACGTTGGTTGGAGCTTGTTAAAGATTATGACTGCACGATTTAGTATCATCCGGGGAAAGCAAATGTTGTAGCTGATGCCTTGAGCCGAAAGGTAAAAGGCGAATTATCTTGTTCTATTACTCGACAGCGTTATCTTATTCAAGACTTTGCCCAGATACAGATTCAAGTCGTCGAGTCGCTTCCTGCAGTGATTACAGGGAGTGTTAGCTCGATGCAAATTCAGCCTACATTGAGAGACAGAATCTGGCAGGAACAGACTCATGATCAGTTTATACGTGCTATTGAGGCCAAGGTTTCCGCCGGAGGAGTCGAGGGTTTTTCTCGAGGCGCAGATGATGCCTTAGAGTTCCGAGGCAGGATAGTAGTGACGAAGGTCGAGGCCTTGCAGAAGGAGATCTTGACAGAGGCACACACCGCGCCTTATCTAGCACACCCCGGTAGCACCAAGATGTATCATGACCTGAAGGGGTCTTTCTGGT